CGGCTGACAACCGGGTCCCACACGTCAGTGACTGCCTGTTACATAGGATAGTTCAAATTTCTAGTTTTGAATGTTGTTTTGTAAATTTCGTATCTCCAAATTGGTAGATCCAAATTGAGTACTTCCAATTTTGTTAGTATCTTGGTGAAGTCTAGTATTTAAGAAAAATATGAGTTGAGCACATTATGTGGAAATTTTGGATGAATTAAATAGGAACTTGAAAAGTGTTTTTGAATGCATGCAAACTTGTTTAAATCATATCTTGAGTTTATGTGATCCAAAAATTGTGAAATTTTGTGGGTAAGCTAGTATTGCTTAGTAGAAGCTCTGGTTAAAATTTGAGAGTCATTGCATGTGTAGTTTTTGAGTTATAGATTTTCCTTTTATCATTGGTGGATACTTGTGTGAATTTTTGTAAATTATCTAGGAATCCTATGGCCATGAAACTTGGTAGGTAGTATCTTAGTACCTTAAGGATGCTAAGAAAAATATAAAATCTATTGCTTGACACATTTCATTAGGGTTTCCTAATTATGCCATTTTAAGCCATTATGCCTTAGCATTTTTGTGTAGGCTGTTATACTTGCTCAAATGGTGTGAAATTTTTATGGTAGTCTACTTAGAGCATTTAGTATCTACTGTAATTTTTGTAGATTTAATGGTGCAGTTTTCATATATGTTTACCATTTCCTCTAATTTATTAATTAAATTAAGAAAGGTATTAAAAGAAATGTTTTGGTGATGAACACCCTACTTTCTGGTGTTCATGTGATATGAGTGATATGTGAGTAGAGTTAGTTTTGTCCAATTATGTGTTTACATCATAAGTTATTAATTATTTCGTTTGCATTATGTCCCTCTGGACAGATTTGGGGACTTTAGGAAGTTCCCCATGATACTTTGGTTTTCTGTGAATGTGATGAACACAAGAGTTGTAGATAATTTATGTATCTAGCTCCTGTCAAAATTTGAGGGCATTTGGCCCAGTAGTTTAGAAACTACAGCTGTTTAAAGTTAGGTTCCAGTTTTGCTTACTCTCTGTCTTGTGAGGACAGAGTTCTGTTGATTAAAGAATTCAACTTGGTAAAGTGCTGAATCATGCTTAGAGGTCTAAAAATGAATTGTAGACAATTTCATAAGCTTTCCAAATTATCTTGTTGCATGTCATTTGGATTTATAAATCTCCGGTTATGGCTAGTTTACTGTACCGCTACATAGTCTTCGTTTTGCTGAAATACAAATGCTTGAGTGTATGTTGTTGCAATGTTCTCGTTGATTGTTTAGGGGTTAGCCTAACTTGAGAATATGCTTAGGTGCAGGTGCTAGGTCATTAACTGAAGATGAGCAATTATACATTAGGTTGTATAAACTTGGTAAGTAAAGTGATTTGAATAGGGCGTAAGTTGGAATATGCAGACTACAGCGAGCATGTGCATTCCCCGAGCATCCCTGACATTCGTTCATGTGCATCCATGATATTTATCTTGTGCATTCATGCAATAGGTGTGCCGGAGGGAGTGACGTTACTGGAGTTCGAGGGAGCGAGCCAGGAGGAGGAGCTCGAGGTGCAGGCAACCGAAGAAACAGCCACCAAGGAGGAGTTGCCCGAGTGCCCTGACCACCGTTCATCCTCTTTCCTGAAAGGCAAGCCCCGGAGCATTATAAGTCTCCCATGTCTTTACAAATATATTGAGTATCTTTTATTGTTGATGCTGCATTAAGTATAGGAATTGGTTGGAACCAATTGCTGCATTATATATCTATCATTGTCCAGATATCGCACTTGAATCCTATTTAAGTTCAGGAACGGGTTAAATGCTTAGCCATGCTTAGTGCGGTAGAAGTCGGGTGATTTCCTGTCACCTGCGAGCTTTAGGATGAGGTGGATCACGGTTGGCTATATTTGCTATCGTGGAAAAGAACCATGTGAATAATGAATTATGACCGGGCGGGGTCTTATGTAGGTTTGAACATAGTGACTCCGTCTGCGTCGTTTAAGGACCGATACGTTGTACATCCTCAGGTCATGTTGAACGCAGCCTAACACTTAGCTGGCCGGATAAGTCGTTCCGACCGCGAAGCCGAGTAGCTCAACTCAGGCCGGGAACCGTGGGGGTTGGATGCATTCTGGAGGTAGTAAGGATGTGCGGAGAGCCATTGGCATAAGTCCAAGGGGAGTCAGGGCTTAAAATCCTGCACTTCCTGGCAGAGTGGTTCTCTAAGAATGCCCGGCGGCCCGGACCCGCGTCTTTTCTTTTATTTTTCTCATGAGTTGTACCAAAGGTGACTTGTTTGCGACCCTGACGGGGGAAGCAGGGTTTGTATTAGGAATACCCCTCCAGCTGGATAGGAATCGATTCGAATCGCTGTCTCTCCCGGATAGTGAGAACTTGACTTGAGCAGCGGCAACATAGATTCACTAAATCTACATATATGGTTAAATGATGATGATAATGATGATGAGAATTATGATGAGCCATGAAATACCTGATATGGTTATTATTATTTGCAACTAAATCAAATGGTTGATTAGTACAGGTGCTAATATAGATGGTAGGTAATGGCTAAAAGTCAATGCTAGTACAGGTGAATAATGCTAATGGTTACTCAAGTTTTATGCAAAAAGGTTGTCCAGCAAGATCCACTGATAAAGCCTTGCATACTCCTTAGTGTCATTTATTTTTGGTTTATGACGGGTAAGTCTAGCTGAGTACATTCTCATACTCAGGGTTTATTCTCTCTTGTTGCAAATGACCTTCTATATTAGGGCTTCTGCAAGTATTGTCTCCACCCGGCGGGTGACGAAGACTAGATCATGGGCATGATCTCTGTTTATCTTATCCAAATGCTTTTGTGGGATGTGATCAGCAAGCTGGTACTTGTATTTGAACTCGGGTGTGTGAGTTAAACTATTTGCTTCCGCTACTTTATAAGACTTGGTTTGTAATAACTATGACTCTAATGCGTTGTAATCTATCTGCAAACTGAACCTGAAATGTTGTAACGTATGAGATGTTATGTTGAATTACTGTGATCTTGGTTGTATGCAAGTTGGTTTGAAATCCTTCGTGGTTTCAGTTGACTACCGGGTTTATATGGGCTTAAGTGCGAGAATTTGATCGTTTCGGTGATTGTTTTTGTACTTGTGCTCTTATAAATTGGTCGGTTCTATGACAAGTTGGTCCATTTGGGACCCCGGGTTTATGAACCCGACACAAATACTCGGGCCCAACAACATGTTGTAGATGGGCCAGCCTGGCTAGGGCGCATAACAGGCAAGCCTCACAGGGCCTTCTGTGCATAATGCTTCCAAGGAAATTGTCCCGGTAAATGAAGAGGAGACACGAGACAATGTGGTGATGACCTGCTTTGCACAGCAACAATTTTAGATTGGAAAATGTTTTTTCGGCTCAAATTTTTTTTTTTAATTACACAAGTATAGGCGCAGACTCTCAAACGCACACACACTCATCCCTACGAATACACATACGAAAACCCTAACCCTATGAGTATATTCGCCCTACGAATACACATATGCAAACCCTACCCCTATGAGCACATTCGAAAGACTGTGTCGGCACATCTCGAGATTGATAAAGCACCACAGACACCTCGCTGTCGACGGGAACGTCGCCTACCACTGAAAACACAACGCCGATAAATCCTGAAATAAATCCAGAAAATACGAGCACCCGTGCCAAGTCAAGAACTTGAATCCGAGTTGGCAGGTATATAGTTCAAGTTTTCTCCTCTAACTCCACAACCTGTAAAATACCTCCCTCAATTTTAAAAAATCATTTAAGTTACCTCCCTCCTTCTGTGAGAAGTTATTTTTAGGTGATTTGGTCATTTTTAATTACAAAAATATAGTAAACACTTAATAAAGTTTGTAACTGTGAAAAATGTATTTAAGCTTATAAAAGTTTTGAGTAAAATCTTAGAGATATACTGGGACAAGTGAGAACCGAATAAAATATTTAGGAATCATGAAAATATGTCTAGACGATTTAGTCCTAGGAGATCGAGAAAATATCAAAAAATCTGAAAAAATAAAAAAGAATTACAATAAACATCTAAATGCATTTTAAAAACTTTCCACGACATTAATGTATTTTCACAATCTCAGAATATTGGTTGCATGCACAACATGAGTGCATTCAACATTAATGTATGTTGCATCCATGTTGGTTGCATCTCATGTGTATGTCATGAAAAAAATTAAAACACATTTAAATATTGATTAGAATGTTGAAATTTTCCATATTTTTGTAGATACTTTTCTATTTTACCAGAGTTGAATCTAACTTCGGAAAGCTTCTACATATATTTTCATGATCTATTTTTTTATTTACCGTGTCCCAATGTATATCTAGAATTTTTATTGAAGCTTTTATAAGTTTAGAGATATTTTTTTTAGTTTAAAAACTTTATTCAGGTGTTTACCAATATTTTTTAATTATAATTGATAAATCAGCGGACGAGCGCTGTAGCTCGGTTGGTAACATACTGGTGGTGGAAAGCTCCGAAGTTCGACTCCCCACCTCTGCATATGTAGTTTTGCACGTTTTAAAAAAAAATAACTCGCCTGTCCCACACCAAACCACAAGCCTAAGGTCCAGACTTTTCTTAAGCACAAATTAACTCGTCTGTCCCACACCAAAACGCTGATGCCAATAGAGATTCAGGTTTTTTTTGTTAAGCACTGTCATATCCTCGTGGGTCAAATATTTTTTTAATAATTGATAAATCACCTTGACAAACACTTCTAACCGAGACAGAGTGGTGGTAATTAAACGATTTTGAGGGTCGAGGGAGACGGTTTGTCCGGATTTAAAGTTGGAGGAAAAGCCTGGACTAAGGTGATAGTTACGGGAGGGAAAAAGGACTTCGAGCTGGGTGTTTGTAACGGTTGTTTTATTGCTCACATTCTCTGGTGTCGAGCACCGGCGAGAATCGGCGCAGGCACGCAGCGCCGTGAGTGAGGAACAGGACGGGTGTGATTACAGCCACGCGGGGTCCTTGATGGGCGTGACGACGGCCTTGGTCTGGAGGTAGTTGCGGAGGGCGTAGATGCCCTTCTCCCGCCCGACGCCGCTCATCTTGTAGCCGCCGAACGGGATGGTGGCGTCGAACACGTCGTAGCAGTTCACCCACACCGTGCCCGCCCGCAGCGCCCGGGACAGGGTGTTGGCCGCGTCCAGGCTCCGCGTGAACACCCCCGCCGCCAGCCCGTAGTGCGTCGCGTTCGCGCGCCGGATCACCTCCTCCATGCCGCTGCATGCCACAAGCAAGAAAAGAGAGCACGCGTGTGGCGGCTCTGCACCGTCAGTCGTCACGTCACACGCAGACACACCATTGCCCTGTGTCGTCACAAGATCATTCATGCGTGTGTACCTGAACTTGAGGATGGTCTGCACCGGCCCGAATATCTCCTCCCGAGCGATCTTCATGTCGTCCTACATGAACCAGACGCCACAAAGATGGTGCGGCCATTGAGCAAGTTGAGATCGAAATCGAAAGGCGTGTTTTGGTAGATGCTCGCTGACGCTGAGCCTTACCTTGGCGTCGGCGAACACCGTCGGCTGTATGTAGAAGCCCCTGCTGCCTACCCTGTCGCCGCCGGTGACGAGGGTGGCGCCGCTGTCGACGCCGGACTGGACGTACCGCAGGATCTTGTTGAATTGCTGGCCGTCAATCTGACGACGCGACGCAAGGAGAAAAGATTTCAGGGCCGAGGCGGCTGAAACTGAAACGGATGCACCCGGCGACGCTGAGAAATAGTAAAAGTGCTAGCTAGGTTCGTACGTACCTGAGGCCCCTGCTCGACCCCGTTCCTGAAGGGGTCGCCGACCACGCGCTTCAGGGCGCGGGCCTTGGACTTCTCCACGAACTCGTCGTACACGCGCTCGTGCACGAACGTCCGCGACCCGGCGCAGCAGCATTGGCCCTATGCGGTTGGGAAAGCGTTTCAGAGCTCAGAATCTGCAGTAATGATTGCTCCAACACAGCACGATTGCAGTACAGTTGGACACGCACCTGGTTGAAGAAGACAGCTTGGTGCGCGAGCTCGACGGCCTGGTCGACGTCCGCGTCGTCCATGACGACGAAAGGGGACTTGCCACCGAGCTCCAGCGTCACCGGCTTCAGGTTGCTCCTCGCCGCCAGTTCGAGCACGATCTGCCCCGTGCCCGTCGATCCGGTGAACGCAAGCTGCACCAAAAACGTGCAAGTTGTTCAGGGATCCGATCAGCGCTGGCCACTGAAGCATCATGGAAAGGCCGGGGTTGAGCTTGAGCTGGGTTACCTTGTCAACACCCATGTGGCTACAGAGCGCGGCGCCGGCCGTCGGACCGAAGCCGGATACCACGTTCAGAACACCCTCGGGGAGTCCAGCCTGCAACAACGAACAGCAGGAAACGCAGGCCACGGTGATGGGTAGTTCTACGATCGAGACAACTGATGATACTACGTTCGAGGGACGTCACGCTAGTAGCCGACCTCGTGGAGGAGGTTGGCGACGTAGAGCGCGGAGAGCGGCGTCTGCTCGGCGGTCTTGAGGACGACGGTGTTGCCGCAGGCGAGCGCCGGGCCGACCTTCCAGGCGAACATGAGCAGCGGGAAGTTCCAGGGGATGATCTGCCCGGCCACGCCGACGGGCTCGTGCAGCACCTGCACGGTGTGAGCGCCGTCGGCCGGCACCACCAGGCCGTGGATCTTGTCCGCCCACCCGGCGTAGTACCGGATGCACCGCGCCACCATGGGCACCTCGGTGCCCGCCGCCTGCGCCAGCGTCTTCCCGTTGTCCCACGTCTCCAGCGCCGCGATCTCCTCCGCGTGCCGCTCGATCAGGTCCGCGAACCGCAGCAGCACCCGGCACCGCTCCTGAAACCACGGCGACCAACCATGCGCGTCCGTTAGTTAGTGTGGACTGTCGTCAGCGTGTGCCAACATGGAGCGTCGGGTGCTGTGCGCACGCACGTAGGCGGTCATCCTCGGCCACGGGCCCTCGTCGAAGGCCCTGCGGGCAGCGGCGACGGCGCGGTCGATGTCCTCGCTGTCGCCCTCGGCGACGCGCGCGATGACCTCGCCGGTGCGGGGGTCCAGCGTCGGGAACGTCTTCCCTGGTGAAAGGCACACGTCGCTGAGACCCTGATGAACGCCATCAACAGGTCCAAGGTACTAAGCTTGCCATACCAGAAGCAGCATCGACGAAGTTGCCATTGATGAGGAGCTGGGTGTGGTTCACCTCCACGGCGGGCTGGATTGGCTCCTCTGCGGTGGCAGCAGCGGGTGCCGGTGCAGTGGAGAACCTGTGAAGAAGAGCCCCTGGCAACAGAACGCGTTCAATAAAGCCAAAAGTTTCAGCTAGAGCATGAATGAATCACAAATTGCTCAAAAGTAACGCAGAATCCATGGACTGACGAAACAATTTCTTAGCTTTTGATGAGTACATGCTTCAGACTAGTTCGTTGACGCATGGTAGGCGTGTGATCTACCAGAAAACTATAGGTGAGCACGCAACACAAGCCATGGAAGTATGGAACTTGAAAAAACACATTATTGCTACAGAAACCGCTGAGTATGCAGTTACAGTTCTTTTGCAAACCCCATTCTGATATGGAAGGACCTCACCTGCAGAGCAACTTGGGAGGAAATTTCAGGCTACCTTTAGTGCCATGACTCACTGATGGCGTTAGTACTACAGACCAAAAATGAAACAGAAGTTTGGTGTACAAAAAATACGAAGTTCTTTTTTTTCTCAGCGGAATTTTGCCGATCGGCATTCCCAACAACCAGTGATGTCTATCGCTTTCTACTGTTCTTCAGATACCAACAATCAACAGTGAGAATAGACTTCACAGAGGAAAGACAAAGGCACTACGCCTGACGACGTGATAAGGTGATTGAAACGGCAACAGGAAAATGATAAGCGAAGGCAAGACGAACCTTGTAATTCCAGTATCAGAGCTCGATTGCGATCATTAACAGAAATGAATCAAGAAGGAAACAGGGTTCATGAAGAGATCGTCACCTGCTCCGAGGAGAGCGGATTTGCCGGCAGGGGAAGCAGGAGAAGCAGGCGAAGGCCTTGTGAGGAGGAAGCGAGAGAGGAAGGAGGAAGCAGCCCTCCTTGCAGCCATGCTGAGCGCCTGAGCGTGCGCAGGATCAGCTCTGGCCTCCGGGGGATGTGTATGCCAGCCAGGCAAGCCTCTCAGGCCAATACTGGCCTCCCTTGCTCTGCTGCCTTGCGATTCTTTTGGAGGGGCCTAGCCGCCAAGGCTATATATCAGATTATCAGGCCAGTCTCGAGGTTGGAAAGCAGGGTCGCGTGACAGCACGAGTGTAGTTGCTATCTTGCTGACGACGCACGTCCGTGTGTTTAGTTGGGCAGTGAAATTTCATGGACGTCATATCGGATGTGTTGAAAAGATGTTGGGAGAAGTTTTTGAATACTAATAAAAAAATAAATTATAGAACCCATTAAAAAATTACGAGACGAATCTAATGATACTAATTAATCGGTCATTAGCACATGCGGGTACTGTAGCACTTAAGGTTTTTCAGGGACTAATTAGGCTTAAAAGATTCGTCTCACGATTTTATCGAGAACTGTGCAATTATTTTTTAGTACTCTATGCATATGTCCAACACATGCTCTTTTACTGTATGAGTCAAAAATAATTTGGAAACTAAACAGGGCCTAAATAAAATAAAGGAATAGAAAAGGGGGCGAGAAGCATGACAATATTGTGCTCTATCAGTACTAGGCAATTACGGGAGCACGTGTGCAGGGTATGCAGAATCTCTCGACCTGTTCGCTGGTGGGTTTATAGCCTGATAAGCCTGGTTGAAGCTGATTTGCTATGAGAAGAAAATATTATTGACTGACTGATAAGCCCTGACTGAAACTAACAAGTGAACATGTTGTCTATTTTTTATATCTTCTCTATCTCTGTGTCTCTATTGGGTTTTGTCTGTCCATCCCAATGTTCGTCCGTTTCCATAACGGCCCTGTTCACTTAACTTATCAGCCATACCGTTTCAGCGAAATAACAGTATTTTTCTATTATAATAAATCAGCATCAGTATCAGTATCAGCTGTTTTTCCAGCCAGTCGAACAGGGCCAACGTCCCCTCTTTTTTTTCTGCAACGGCCCATTAATTATGTTTTCCTTATAAAAACTGGTGGAGAAATCATAGGTGACCTAGACAAAATGCTCGTTATTCGCACTGACACTCACGATCGTCATAATCCTCACACACTGTGAACATCCACTGGCAACCTCTCTGTCAATCAAGATTCACCTTCTGCAGTCACACCTAACTAACACCACCCGTATAAGTAATTCTTGGGGTCTCCTTTCATATTGCATAGATAAAATGCATATAGCAAGTCTATATGCATATTTTTTCAAACTGATGTTGTTAAGTACAATCTCAGAAGAGGATGAGATAGATGATGACTCTGTTCCATATCCTTATGATATTGTGTATAACAATGTTCATCTATACACACACATGCTGAAGGTAGTGGCAAACATGGTGATGCAAAGAGGTTAGAGTATGAGTGCAAACATATATTGGTGGGCAAAGTTTAGATAACATTGAGTGCAAACAAGGAAAAAATGTCTTTTTTTTACCGGACAAAGTAGTAGAGGGTCTTACAAGAAAGAGAGTAATCTCCGTTCTTGGAAAAAAAGGTGGAACTTTGTGCTCTATTGGATCAATTTGCGTCCATAGGTGTGTGTTTTCCCACTTTCCATACGTCTATTGGAGACCGGGTTTTATTCATGATGATTCTTGCTGTCGTGGCTCCTGACGCCTGAGTCACGAGAAGACGAATCCGATTCGACAACTTAAGGTCCTGTTTGGTTGAGCTGTGGCTGTGGAAGAAAGTTGTTGTGGGCTGTGAGCTGTGGAAAAGCTGTTGTGGGCTGTGAGCTGTAGAAAAACTGAAAACTGTTTGGTTAAACAAGTATAAAATATACCTTTTATCTTTATCTCTCTTGAAACAATTATGGAAGAGCTTTTTATTCCACCAATTTCGAAAAGCGAGAAAACCAAAAGCCAAAAGCAGGGTCAAACCAGCTTTCAAAAATGAACTACGGAAAAACAACTGCTTCTGAAAAAACACCCCCAAAACAACTCCTTTAGTTAAGCTTTTGACTTTTAGGACCAAAAGCTAAAGCCAAAAACCAAACCAAACAGGACCTAAATATGGACGAGGGATGTCACGGTATAAGTACTGCGTGCAGCCGTGGAGTAACCAGTACAGATCGTTCCAGCCTTTCATGAGCTCACGTGAAAAACAAAGTCAGGACACGGCCGCACGGCCTCGCTGGAGGCACCGAGGCAGTCCAGCTACACTGAACCGTGCCCACTGCCCACTCTGATCGGTCTAAAGCGCAAAGCCAATCAATCTGAAAGACAGGCGTCGTATGCGCAACAGACTTCGGTACAGGAAAGTTGGCCCCTGCCTTGGATGAGAAAAGTTCGTTGGCTTCTAGTCTGCAGAGGATAAGAAGATGCACATGGCTCACTGCAACCAGTGCGTCAGCGTTCTACAGTCCTCAGGGTTCGTTGAGTAACTTGATAAGTGCTCCACCAGGGCCGCTGTTCCAAAACTGTGGGCGCTCACAGATTAAGATCGGATTCTTTCACGCCAGCATCACAAATGGTTTTGGAAGCAGAGCAAGGAATGGTCCAAAGAAAAGAGTGACAATTCGATTTGTATAGGCAGCACATCATCTCCTGTTGGTTGTCTTTTCCGGGGAAAAAGAATCGCGGGTAGAATTTTCTCATGTCATAGTTCATCGCTGAGGAAACCAAACAAGGTTCTATTGGTGGCAACGGCAAGTAGCCAAGTATACATCTACTAGATCTACCACATGGAAATGCAAACATGCTAACAAAAAGTGGTAACCTAAGGATAATATTGCACAACTGAGGATCAATATCTACATTGAGTGAGTGAAAACCATGATCAAGAATGCTATCAACCTGATTTCCATATGTAACACCCTTTGGACTATGATGACTCTGTGAAGATGGGGGCAAATGAACTGATTCCTTCAGACCTTGATCTTTGAAAATGTCCCGGTGTCTGAAAAATAGGTGCTTTCGGTTATGTCACCACCTTGGGCGAATGGATCTGACAGCTCTATTCCCTGTGGGAAAGAAAATCATCAAAAGCTGTATGTAAACTGATAGGACCAAAGATAAGGGAAACTGTAGCGATCATAAGCACAAATAAGAAAGAACATAGAAGTCAAAAGCTACACCTATAATCAGACGACTGAGCATAAAGTGAACATTCCATAGATGCCAACACTAAGCTGTGTGGTGACATATAGCATTAAATCGTACAAGAAGTACAGCGTTGTCAATGACTTTGAAGCAAGCAACACGGGTGTCGTTAGGAGGCTAAGGTGTGCCGCTCGCATTCTAGGCCTCCCAACGTTACTTGCTGTAAAACTCTTACTTCTCCTTAATTATACACATGCAAAGCATGTTTGCGAAAAAGACTTTGAAGCAAGCAAATTAGAGAGTAGTTCAGATCTGAGAGTTGGTCTTCTTAATTCTTGTATACCTAATTCCTCCTTGGCATTATATGATTTTCTTCAGAATTATGGGCAAGTCAAACAGTTATTTAAATGGCAATCAGACAAGTTCTAAGCAAATAAACTGAGGTCGTGTACCACTTAAATATAATAGAAAGGAACATTGCAACTCCAACTCAAAGCTCACTTACCTGAACTGGCGTAAATGCAAAACTTGATGTCAACCCCAATCTTGACCCACTACTTTCAGAACTCTTCTCTTTGAGTCTGATATAAACATAACATATCAAAATAAATTAATGATGAGCGACATATTGTAGAAAGGGACTGTTAAGATTGGAAATGCAAACAAATAAGCTTTTCTTGAAGAATGTATTCAAGTTCAGTGCAGCATGCACAATAAAGCAGTTTCTATTGGGAATGGTATCCGGTGCAACGGCATATGCTTCCTGGTAAACAATTTCAAAAAATATTATACAAAGACGGTCCTGGTGCAGATCATCAAATGAAGAAATGTCATGCACATGAAAATAGAAGTTAAAAAAAAAGATAAAAAGGGAAAGGATAACTGTTTTTTGTTGTAGTTATGGATATTTTTCCTGTATACCGATTCATATGCAATTTTATTATGTAATAGTATAACAAAGTCCGATCCATATTTATTATTTTATATATACAACATTCCAAACAGTGAGATATAAGTTTGTACAATGGAAAGACACTCCACAATTTGTAGGATCCAATATTTGTCATATGTATAGAATTAAAACTCCAGGGAAAAAAAAGGAAAGACAGATTAAATCACGCACCTTTTAGCAATTTTAGTAGAAAGTTTGCTTTGACCAGCAGACACACGTAGCTTCCCGCTTCCAGCCTGCCCAAGCAAGCCGTAACCTTTCCCTAAGCCATCACCTAGTAATAGAAATACTAAAGAGTCTTAAAAGGAGAAAAGCATTCCAGTTCCCGACAGGGTGAAACTAAAAACTGCCATTCTAGTGTTCATGTTTTGAGTAACTAACCCAATGTGCTCTCCTCTGGCACGTCAAACTTCATCTGATTCACAAGCTTCATCGTGTTGGTCTGTGCATATCTGCACAATTGAATTCCCAGATACAAAAAGGTAAGAGGAAATTAGCAAGGGCCACTCACAGTAATATAATAAAGTAAGTTGCAAAATGCAAATGAGACAAACAGGTAATGCAATCAGGGAACTCAGACACGTGAATGGGCATTATATAGCAATTTTTTACATGAAGTATAATAGTTTTTTTTTTCAATTTGGACATAAGAAAGTTTCAAATAAATTACCTTTCCTTCATTTTCCAGAGCCGACGACCCCCTCGTTTCTTTTTAGGCATAGAGTCTGGAATAGGAAGTGGCTTTGGAAGCCTTGCAGGTGGTAGTTGTTGCCACTTTTCAATCTTCTTACTAATTTCTTCTAACAAGTTCTGCCCAGCTGTTCCAGTTGGATCACCTCTTATGGAATCAATCCTTGCTGCTAGTGTTGCCTTTGCAGCTATAAGTCTACTAGCCTGAGGAGCCTGAGGTCTTAAAGATGGAGGTGTGCTTTGAAATACTTCAGTTTGTTCAAGATAACCAATAAGAGACTGCATTGACGCAGTAGAGAATCCAGACAGATTTGTCTTCTTTGCACCGAGAAGCAGCACATTACAAGTGGGCATTTTGGCCAGTGCTCCCAAACCACCAGCACGACTCATCAGTTTCGAGGCAACAGCACTGCCAACAATGGCAGCAAGGTTTGGTGCAATGTATCCCATTCGTCTCTTCAAAAACTCAGGTAGCATCTTCTTTATTGCATCAAGGTTAAGAGCTCTGTCACACGCTTCAATAGTATTTACTAAATTATCTTCAGAAAGAGGCTCCCCACTAGTTGTTGATTCTGCCATTGTGATCCACATTATGTCTGCAGAAGGTAAAATACCTTTCAAATCAACAAGTGTTAAGTCCATCTCATTTCCAATCTTCCGGACAACACGGGCATAATCAATTGGATGGTGAACACGGGATTCTAGTAGAGGGTGCTTTAGCTTGAACTTGTCACGTATGAAATTGTGGATTATAGTAATCTCATTGTCAATATCTACTGATAAAGCATTGCAATAAAAAACAAGCTGCTACTCTTGATCTTCCAGGATGGCCCCTTGATTGGAATCACTTATACCTCTTTCAAGTGCATCTTCAACTTTCTGTGAGCAACAAGTAAAAAGGGTTTAGAAAAATGACTTATGAAATGAAGAATGCTACGGCTTACATCAGTAATAAAATGATTTAACAAAGCAGAATAGACTATCCAGTGTTGTCAATTAAATTAAATATCGATAGGATCAACACTTCAGCACAAAAGACAAATACATAAACACAATTCTCTGAAATACAACAAAAAGAAGATAATTTTAGACTTTACTTACATTCTAAGATACACCCATTAATATTTGATGAAGAACTATTTACATCATGGAAAGTCCATTTAACTGGGAAGATAAAATATGTGAACAGAACTGTTAGTACAAGAGACTCAATTAAAAAAAATTGTTTTATGCCGTTTCGTATCCATTCATTCAGCTGCACAAGAAGCTTTCATTTCAAAAATTATTCAGCTTATGCATTGATGGGTAACAATGGGCAGCCCCATTTGAAATCTCAGGGTGCCTTCAACCATATACTAATTTAATTACAGTTAACCAGAAATGTAGCAAGGGGGAAGACATGGATTTCCAAGAAATAGCTGGCTTACCTGCATTATGTCTTTATAACGTTGCGTCTTCTGAAGTTTTGAGACACTATCAAGATCAAGTGATTTCGGGTCAGGGACATTATCATCAGCATCCTCTTCCAAGTTTTCTGCCTCTGCATTTTCAACTTCCTGAAATAAGTGCAACATGTCAGTAATCAGCCAACAAAATGTGCTACAGTGTAAGAATCCTTCACAGGATAGAAATGAACTCACAGGATAGTCTTCTCTATCCGACAGATCATCAAGATCCGCCATGAAAGAATCAGCAACACTAGCCTGAAGAAGAAGCCGTCAGTTGGCAACTTATAATTTTGTCAGTCATATTGGTAGAAGAAAAAATGTAAGACTCACCAAATACTGGATGTGGTGGATGCAATAGATTAAAAAGGAAATCATATCAGAATGCCCAAGTAAGTTATTAAACTGGATGGGTTAAATAGATATCATAACATGACCAGTCCAATCCAAGTATCCAACTATACAACTACGGTAGCACTTGAACCAAGTATACCAAGCACAAGCGTGTGATAATATCTCGGCTGGTATCACACATTCTACAGGGCAAGTTGCAGGAGGCTAGAATTGTTTCGATTATGAACAATCTCACCTAAATCCAAATTGTAAATGAAGGGTTTACGCTCCCAAATTCAGCAAAGCATACAAACAAAACTACAGTCAGCTAAAGCGAAATCAGAAGTTCAGAACCCCTAGGAAGTCGGAACATTCCAGTTTCAGAACCTATAGTTCCCCGCTATCTCCAAGCACAAGCAGCGTACGTTATGATATGCGAGATCAACAAAATCCGCAAGCGCAGCCTAGCAGAAAGTAACCGCAGCACAGCATGTGCGACCGAACTGGTCCAAATGAGGTAGGAGGAAGTTACCATGACTGGAGCGGCGGTGTAGCGCGCGTCCCCTCGACGAGCGGGCGGGCGGAGGCGAGCGCGCCGGTGCTGCGAGAGCACCGGATCACACCGCAGCTAGGGCCTCCCCACGCCCCGTACGCGCGCACGGCTCCGGCGAAACCGAGCGAGTCTTCACAGCGGGTCCGAACGGTCGGTTTGCGACTCGTGCGCCGTACTCGTACCACCTGTGTACTTTTTTATCTGGCAAGACCTCTACGCAGTACTAGGTCGGTTGGAGTAGAAACGAGTTCGGAATACGGCTGGGCCCGAAGCCCGAACAAGTAAAGGCGCCGAGGAGCGGAAGGCCCATTGCACAACAATGGGCTAAGGTCTCTACGTGGACCGCAGGTCACGGCCGTACGGCCCATGTATGAGGCAGGCTGGGAGGAAAGGTTATTTCTGCGTTTCCGTCAGCGGTGCCTTGTGATTGGCGGTCTCGTTCCCGCGCGCATGGATGGCCTAGCCCGCAGAGGGAGGGAGGGAATCGGCCGTCGGCGCTGGAGAGGACGAGATGCCAGGTGCAGCCCCCCGGGACGACGGCAGCGGCAGCGGCAGGATTCCACTGCCGCGTCGGTGCGGGCGACCCGATCGATCTGGGAGATAGATATGGCGATGGCCGCATCGCATGGTACGGCAACGGACGACGAAGCTCAACCGCCCGTACAGGCGTACACACTGTGACCCTGGCCCGCCCCGCCGGCCACTGGCCCGGGGCCGGGTCCGGGATGTCAATGCCGGCGCACGGGGGCGGGCGGGGGGCAGCTCCACGCATGCGCATCGCCCTTGACTAGTACGAGTACCAAACTGATCGAACGGAAGGCTGGGGCTGGGATCGACGTGCCCATCAATTCGCCGGTCGTCGTCGTCCTCCGTCGCGATCGGCGACGCAGGGTATGGTCGTGGAGTAAGAGCGGCCGCGATCTGCCGGGCCTCTGAGAACCTCTCGCTTCGTCAAGAGAATTGACGGGACGTACTGATCGTCGCCCGACTGGCCGCCTGCCTGAGTGAGAGTCCTCCTCGCTACTGTAAGTCGGCAGTCTGTCGTTCCTTGTCGGTTGTAGTACAGCTAGGAGGAGTACATCCTACACGTACGTGGCCTAGCCAGCAGATCGATCGACGAAATTAAACAGCAGCTTTGGCTTTGCCGGGGAGTGATCCATTCGGGCTTGTTCTCCTCCGACCCTTCACGCGTTCGGAGCATGTGGCTCGCGTTCATCGGGACTGGCAAGTACGGAGTACTACTTCCATACACACGTCCACGTTTAGCTTCAGGACGGGGGAACAGCCAAGTTCTTGGGATTGGATTGCCATCAAGCAACCCAGTCCAGTTCAGTCCATGCATGGCTGTTTCAGTTCGTCACAGCCTCGAGAGATAAGATGGAAAGGCTCAATGATTTGGTGGCCCTTCGGGGAGGCAGTAGTAGACCTAGCACCCATGCTCAATGATTCCCGACGAGTCGTCAGTTCAGCTCACTGTGTTCCGCCGGTGGCTTTCCGACAGGCGACGACTCAGCGCCTACGAACTGCTGGCGGGCAGAGTTTTATTTATGGCTTCCTTCCACTGGAATGGTATTTGCCTTTTTCGCTTGGCTAATAAATCATTGTTGAAAATGTTGTTGGTTTATTTATTATGAAAGTTGGCTAAAAGAGTATGGCTTATAAGCCAAACGAACGGGCAATTATCAGAGATCTCGAGACTATTCTATTCGGGTTCCATTTCCACTGCACGCGCCGTGGTTTCGAGCTAAATAACCATTGTAGATTTGGATGTCTTTACACATCGATTGGCCAAACGGACGGGACGGCTGTGGGCTGTGGCATGAGAACGATCCTGAATCGGAGCTCATTTCCGGTGCGTGGTGCAACGGAACGCACATCCCGCACACTAGTAGAGACTAGTCCCGACAAATATTGTTTCTGGAATTAGAGAGACTTTTAGTTCTGGTTGGTGGCTCTAATTGGGCTAAATGTCTCTGCCCAACGGTTCCTACGCTAGATCGTTGTGGCAGGGGATCTTTAGTCTCAGTTGGAGCCACCAACCGGGACTAAAGGTCGACCTTTACTCTTGGTTGGTGGCTCCAACCAGAGTAAAGCTCTTGTCCCGGCTAGTGGCGTGGCCCAGGACTAGAAAGTGACCTTTAATCCCGGTTGGATCCACCAACCGGGGCTAAAGGTTCCCTCTATAAATCCTACTGGCCGTCTTCTTCCTCCCCGAGCCCGTCCGAGAGCTTCAGTTCAAATTTAAGCAGTATTCTTGCTCTCTCCATCCATTCTTCGATTCCTTCGTCGATTTCTTCGATTCCTCCATTTCACTATTGTTTCGATTCCTTCGTCCGAGAGTAAAGCAGTGTTCTAAAAGTTACCAACTTCATACTCTCATATTTCACTATTGTCTTATCCCATTTTGTTCACTATATATATATGGTTTTTTATTGTGGTTTTTTTCATTTGTAAGCAATTTGAGCTCAAAATCACTTCAAGCTTGCATATTTACATGAAGGAAGGTTAAAGTAGCTAGTTGAACTTGCGGACCGTGTTCATCTCGGCGAGCATGTTCTCTGCCGAGCGGTAACGGACGTCAAGGAGGAGCTTTGATTCTACGAGAGAGAGCGGCAACGGTCGTGGAAGACCGTGTTCCCTTCCTCGTAGAATCGGAGCTCTTCTGTAGCCAAGTACGGTGCCGTCCGGTGAAGAAATGCTCGCCGAGATGATCACGTAAGCAAGATCAACTAGTACGGATGGTTATTTATTCACACGTTCCGATATCGTCGCAGTAGTCTGTCAATCACCGTACCCAAACGTAGTATATATATAAATATAAACGATAATCGATTGTTATGTGTGTACACTCCCATTCTTCTGTTAATTTGTGGAAATATCATGTGAATTACTTACCTGCCGTAGTAAAAGACGAGAACACAATGACCATGGCCACGGCCATGAAAAATGCAATCGACACAACACTAGCAACTTTCTCGACAAACAGAGTAGTGTTAAACGCTCTAGAAACCTTTAAACTTCAAGCTTGCATGTTTTTTTTATTTGTAAACAATTTGAGCTCAAAATAACTTATAGTTTGCATATTTGGATGAAGAAAGGTTAAAGTAGGTATTTAAAATTCGTATTCACTTTTTATTTCTAGCATGCATAGCACACTTCATTGTTTAGAGATATAGATAATTTTATAGTTTCTTAATTTTATTTGTTTATAAAATGAGAATTTATAGTGTATTAAAAATGAGTATAGAGAGTAGATGGCAACTGCTTCCAGGTCCTCGGCCTCTCATGGGTTTCCAAAGCGACTTAGGTCGGACCTCCCTCTCATTCCATGCAGCAAGTGTCGTGATGAGACGAAGATTGTGATGAAGTACCGAGTGAAGAAGGAGGGTCCCAACAAGGGTCGTATCTTCTACAAGTGTCCGGATCGCAATGTGAGTTATTTTATCGTATTTAATGATTATGGTTAGTTTATACCTATTTTCATGATGGTTGTGATTAAAGTTCTAATTTTTTGTTTTAATTTCAGTGGGATAGCAATGGACGATGTTCAGGCTTCTACTAGGAGGAAGAGTATGTTGAACTCGTGCAAAAATATCTTGCACAACAGGCAGATACGACGGCTAATGAGGCAGTGATCCAGCTGAAGAAGCCCAAAGATGTTGCACAATCGGGGGATCTGTCTGTTTTAGTTGAGATTGATCGCGAAATCCTTGTGCTCCTGAAATTTATTTTAGCTTTAGTTCTTTTAGTGGTAGTTGAGATTGTCTATATTGTAGCGATGCTTTCATAAATTTGTACCTTTTATGGTGGCACGCATGTTGTATAAATAATTAATTATGATCTAGGTTTTAATATGGTATTTATGTCATGTAATGCAGATGAGCCGGCATTGGATGTACAATGCTGATCGCCGCTCCCAAGAGTTCATTGACGACGTGCATTCTTTGTTACGTGCGGCCGAGGCAAACAAACGCGATGGTTTCATGTGCTGCCCATGTGCCATATGTAAAAATACAGTGGAATATCCTTGCTCAAGGACTCTTCATTCACACTTGTTCAAGTCGGGTTTCATGACAAACTATATTTGTTGGACGAAGCACGGAGAAACCGGCGTTGTAATGGAAGAAGGTGAAGAAGAACAATGGGACGACAATGATATTATTCCCGATGGTGCGTGCTTCAATGATACTGCAATGGGAGAAGCTGAAGAAGAGGTAGCCGCAGAAGATGAGCCTGCTGATGATCTTTGTCAGGTCATTCATGACGCATAAAGAGAATGTGAAAGTGAAAAGGAAAAGATCAAGTTCGAGCGGATGCTAGAAGATCACAAGAAATTACTGTACCCAACTTGTGATGCAGGGCAGAAAAAGTTGGGAACCACACTAGAATTGCTGCAATGGAAGGCAAAGAATGGTGTATCTGACAAGGAATTTGGAGAGTTACTAAAAATCTAAAAGAAGATGCTTCCGAAGGACAATGAATTGCCCGCCACTACCTACGAAGCAAAACAAGTTGTCTGTCCTATGGGGCTAGAAATCGAGAAGATACATGCATGTCCTAATGACTGCATCCTCTACCGTGGCAAAGAGTACAAGAAATTGGATGCATGCCCGGTATGCCATGCATCGCGGTATAAGATCTGGCGAGATGACCCTGGTGATGTTGAGGGCGAACGTCCACGGAAGAAAATCCCTGCCAAGGTTATGTGGTATGCTCCTATAATACTACGCTTGAAACGTCTATTCAGAAACAAAGAACATACAAAATTGTTGTGATGGCACAAAGAAGACCGTAAGATAGACAATATGTTGAGACACCCTGCTGATGGGTCCCAGTGGAGAGCAATCGACAGAGAATTCCCGGAGTTTGCAAATGACGCAAGAAACTTAAGGTTTGCTTTAAGTACAGATGGTATCAATCCTTTTGGATAGCAGAACAGTAGTCATAGCACTTGGCCTGTTACTCTAAGTATCTACAACCTT